CCAGTGTGGTGCACCTGCACTCCTCCTCTGCACACAGTGGCTGCCCATGTGCCCAGTGTGGTGCACCTGCACTCCTCCTCTGTGCACACAGGGGCTGCCCATGTGTCCAGTGTGGTGCACCTGCACTGCTCCTCTGGCCTATCCTCCCCCGTGAGAATACTACAGTGGTGCTATGAGGTTGCTGGCCAAATGGTCACCAACCCAGATAGTTCCTTACTTAGAGGGCGGCGTAAACAGGAGACAGACCACACAACGCTACCACCCCACCGGAGAGCTCTGCCCCAGGGAATGCTCAATAACCCCAGTGTGTGTTAGATTTAAGTAGGCGCTGTCCTTGGCCTGGGCGGAATCTTTCCCATATGCCTATATTAATTGCCCTTCTGTGGGTGATGTACTGTTGGTCATGAGGTCATGCTGGAGAAACTCTTCCCACACCCAGGAGGGCTGTCAGCCTCAGGACTGTTAATAGCAGAGGAGGAAGTCCAAGAGCCTCCCCTCCCCTTACCTGGGAACCGGATAACTGGTCACATGATTACCCCCAGAAGACTCAAATCAGAACAGATCCATTAAAGACGCTTAATGACTTGTAAACATTATGGGGTGATAGTGGCGGCTTACGTCATTCCCTCCCCAGTGCAGGTTTCCATGTCCCATCAAGATGATTAATTCAGGGAGGAGGAGGGACAGAATGGGTTTTCCCCCTAACAACTCTGATAAAAAATTAGAAACTTATTTGGGTAAGATAGGGCACAGGATTTTTCAAGGACACCTACCACTTAAGAGCAGACCGTACGAGGTAAAGATCCAGACGGCATTATCCCTGTGTCATATAAGGGTACTGGAAATCCTCATCAGGAAAATGTATCGTGGCAGATAGCTCTTTCCAACTATCTAGGACACAGGGATGTCATTATCCAAAAGGCAAAATCTCATTTCTAAAAAATACTCAATGGACTTTGCCAAGAATTGTTAAAAAGCTATCCTATTTCAAAAGCACCTCTCTTTAACTGATGGAAGTAAAAAAAAAACGAGGCAGCTTATTCTGGTCCAAAAATAAAAATAATGAACTGCTCTTGTCAGTCTGCGCAGCAGAATGAGCTACCCTAGAGCCACAGGGTGAGCCTGCTGCCTTAACCTCCTCATAGACGCGCAATACGCAGCCACCTCTCTTCCTTTAATAGGGACTGGGAACTCCCACTGATTTCTTCTTACTGGGTTGCAGAAGGCGGTTCAGAGAACCTCCCTTTCTGCCATGTGTATTAGAGCTCATTCTCAACTGCCTTTTGTCCCAGGAAAGTGATTTTGTTGATCAGCTGATCTCCCTTCACTCATTCAAGTTACAGACTGGCACGGTTTCACCCACGCCAACACTCTGCTTTTCCTCACACTCAGGCTTAACCCATTACTGCAGCCTGTCCTACCTGTGCTCCGATTACGCCACCCTCATTTTCTCCTGGAACCAACCATAGAAGTTTAAATCCCAGTGACACCTGGCAAATGGATGTCACCCATTATCCATCCTTTGGCCAATTACATTTCATACATTTCACTGTTGACACCTTTTCTGGCTTTATTTGGGCTATGCTTTTATCCAGAGAAACCATCTTCTCTCCTGCTTCGCTGCTATGGATGTCCCTCTACTATCAAAACCGACCATGTCCCTGCTTATTCCAGTACTGATTGCAAGCCTTCCTAAATAAGTGGCAAATCAAGCACATTACAGGAACCCCATATAACCTCAAGGGCCAGCCACTGCGGAACGCAGCCCCCCTATACAGCCTCCGTTTGTTAAACAAAAGGGGGGTAAGTGTAGGTCACTGGACCCCCGAAGCACAGACAGCCATGACAGTACAGACCCTATATTTGGAAATTTTGAATTTTCCATCCAGTACTTCAGTGGCAGATAAACATTGGGAGGCTCTAAAGAAACTCCAATCTTCAGTCAGCCTTTGTGGTAACTGGAAACCTTGGGCTGTCAAAACATGGCCCTGGGGCCCACAGATTCTGCAGACATCTGGATGGCTGCCAGCCCAGAAACTAGAACCCAGGAATGAAGAGACCATCTAACGTATAACCACCCCCCTCCTTCAAGAGGGTGCCAGAGAAGAGCCCAACCCAGACCAGTCCCGCCTCGGCATAGTGTGCTCTAAAGAAAAACTATTCAGGACTCTGTTAAATTGGGAGAGGGATGCCCCTCTTCTTTAGTCATCGGCCTGTCAGAGTCAGAGACATAGCAGGTGTGGTATCCCCCAAACTGTGACTACAACCCGCTGACGACTCTCCCCTCCTATCTTCCACAGTTACACTGAACATCACAGAAACCACAGAGGCAGGAGAGGGCGAGGAAGGAGACCACAGAAAGGGAAAGGACAGGAAAAGACACCTACAGGACAGTGTTTCCTGGACAGAAAGTCTGGGTTCTAGAAATGTATGCGAAGCATATGCAAACTTGAGAGTGGCCATGATCATTTCTGCTTTGGCGTTGACCTTGGACAGGGCACAGCGCTCTGGCCATTGGGACCTTGGCCGAGAGCTCATGCTGTGGTCTGGCCACAGTTCGTGACCAGGCTACGTCAAGATAAGCAAGGAAGTCACATGCAATGAGAAGAAATGATCACCCTGTCAGAGGATGCCGGGCGGAACATTCAGGAAGGAGGGCAGAAGCAAAGCTCTGTGGAGCATTTAGATGTCCTCTGAAGAACAAACAGAGTGTGCACAGGGAGGCCCAGAGCAGTGGGCGTCTGCTAACGCTTCTAGAAAAGTGGAGCACACACTCACGCCCCCCGCTGGGTTCTCTTCTGAGCCGTTCTGGGGTCCCTGGGGTCTCCATGGCACCTGTGCCTGGTGCCGGAGCCTCCCCCCCCACCTCGGCTTCCCACCTGGGACCCCACTCCCCGCACCCCCTGCCCGCCCCAAGGAGACCCCGCTGACCTTTCGCAGCAAGAAGCAAATGCGCTCAATGTTCCTCAGCCGTTCCCTCTGTCCAGATGCACAGGTACACAGGGGAGGAAGGCGACAGGAGGTCAGAGCCTGCGGTGAGCGTGGGGACCCCTAGTGTCCCCCGGCCCCACTCCACACAGCCCCCC